TGAGTTCCCGTCGGCCGACGGGGCCGCGCCGACCGAGTACGACCGAGTGCAACTCTCTACGTTCTGCGGGATGATACATATCGATTTTGCACATGTAGTAGTGCGCATTGTGACTAGGCTTCCAAAAACACAATCATAAACGAGGCCTTGGAATCCACGCCACGTGGTTTGAAGATACTGATGGCTCAGAAATCTCTGCAATTGTTTTCATCTTCGCTATTGGCGCCTCTCACTGGTTCTTGTGACACTGGTTCTTATATTTTGCGTCGGGACTTCGGGCCTCGCTCCACTACTCGCCAAATGTGCAAAATGACAATGAATCCTCTTCTAGAACATGGAATGATACACCGCCATAGTTCTCGCCTTTTGTCATGTAGAAAGTACTACTGGAGCGAGGACCTTCCCGTGACACTGGGCCTCTCTCCACTGTTACGGAAATGGACAGTGGGACGTCGCTCCACTTAGCGCCTCGCCACACCACTCTTTTTTTTCTTTTCTTTTTCTTTTTTTTGGGATTGTCACAGCAATTTCATTTTGGGATTGTCACAACAATCTCATTTCAAAATCATAGGAACGAGGCCGGGGACCTCACAATTTTTTATTTTTTATTTTTTTTAATTATAAGGGGCCCGGTGCCCAAGGCCTTAAATTTACACTTTACAGTTGCCTGAGGCCGGGGTCCTCACAGTCTACCTGGAAACAAAGAAGATTCATCTGGAAGCCTTACCCGGTTTCGCTTTTTACGAGACCCTTTGGGACCCAGAATCCTGAATTGCAACCTCACACCGCTCAACTATCTTCGGACCTAATGCGATCCTAAGAAAAATATTAGTACTAACTGTACTACACAGTATACTGATGCCAGAAAGTAGCAGTAACCAACCCCTAGGGGGGAGCAGGCCTCTCAATCTCCATCTTTCAGCAACCACGAGAGAAACTGAAAGGTGCCACCAGATTTCAAAAGAAACAGCTGCCCATTCAGACTCCAGGTCCTTGAAAACCAGCCAGCTGATCTATCCCCAAGTTTCCTACCCGTTCGTCTCCTCCAATCTGCAGTAATAGTATGTCTAATCTCTGCTTTTACTTTGTTTATAATGACTGTCTTCGAAAGGTTTGAGTTCCTAAACACTTGGTCGTTGCGATCTGCCCAGATAACTGCAAAGATAATACCTCTAATCACTTGGCTACATACCCCCACCCTGCTGTTGCAGGCAACTTGAAGAACCTTGGCAAGATGCCTGACAGAATCCAACTTTCGTTCCATGGAAAAATATTTTTTATGATCTGCTTCCACCACTGCTCCCACCAGGTCTATGACGCGCAACCTCATGCCCTGTGCTGTCTTTCGTTCGGAGTGCTACATGTGCGGAAGGAGGCCCAGAAAAACAGCAAGATGGAGTGTGCCAAGGATTTTTGGAATTTGAGTGTGGGGACACAGACGGAACTGAAATCCCCCGTGTTGGTCCGATGAAGTAAGTCGGTTGCTTTCGCGCGTTGAGGAATGCGCGCGCGGGCATGGCGCGAAAAGAGAAAAATCCCAATTCAATCCAAAAAGTATTGTCGAGCCTCCCACCGTGCTACGGCCCGTCGTTTAGAGCGAAAGGGCTTGGGCACGCTTCGCGTCGTATCAAGTCCCGTCGTCGTTCGCTGGTCAGTTCTGAGTCTGACGTGGATGGTCTCAGCCGCGTGGCTCTTTCTTTATGCTCGTCTTCACTCCGCACACGGTAGTGGAAACCCTTGGATTCGTAGCGCTCAGAACTCTGACATTCGGTGCATAGAGTGCGCGGCCAGTGGGGTTCTACTGTCGTCCACGGGAYGACAATTAACTCGTTGAATGGCAACAATATCGAGTAAGGTGGGAAGTGCGTATCGATAATGACAAACCCAGCCTCTACGAACCCTGAACAACGATTTGTYGGAGGGAAGTAGYATCGTCCGCCGATTTGTGCAACGACTTCTCGTACGTCCCACTCGCATACACGTGTCCTCTCCTTGTTGTAGGGAAAACGCCRTGTTGAGACGGGAGGTGCGGGAGGCTGGTGCCCGATCGGAGGGTACTTGTCAGTCCACATATCAATCAATTGCAAAAACCTCGAGACGTCATCAAGAAAGGAAAACTCTCGCGCAACCCCCAATCAATCCTTTTCTACACGAGAGAGAGAGAGAAAACACTCATCAGCTTGATCATGCATGTAGCTAACGGACCGGCCCGCGGCTCGGGTTTAGTAAGCCAAAACGACGTTGATCCGAGGCRCCTTATTTCTCGAGGCCGCCCCGTGGCTCCGGTGCTAAGGTCGTGCAGCATAAGGCAGATGGCATGCGTAGTTCATACAGAGCTACAGATCTAAACACTCTTGCATTCTCGGACAAACTACCAACAACAATCATTTAATCAACGCAAAAAAAACACAGATCTCCATACATTCATTCACTGTGGAAGGTGCGAAAAYGAGATATGCGTAGAGATGGATCGGAACAATACACACGCATCCACCGTTCACAAGACAAGAAGACGGGGTTCTTGCATAGGGGGACTACCCAGGAAACTAATGGAGGAGTTCCGGAAAAAGTTCTTTCACACGGGAACAACATACAGACTCGTTTCCATTTGAGAGAGAGAGAGAGAGAGAGAGAGAGAGAGAGAGAGAGAGAGAGAGAGAGAGAGA